GCGACGACAACGGCTTGACTGACGAGGAGGTCCTTCGTCGTCTCGAACTGTTCGGCCCGAACAGGCTTGAGTCGGAGGAGCAGAACGCCTTTCTCCAGGTACGTCCTCCTCCTTCATCTTATCGTTTTCAATCCTCACACAGTATTTAGTTCTTGTCGTTCATGTGGAACCCGCTATCGTGGGTCATGGAGGGTGCCGCGCTTGTCGCTATTGTTCTCTCGAACGGCGAGCACCAGCCGCCAGATTGGGAAGACTTCGTCGGTATCATCCTCCTTCTGCTCATCAACTCCGGTATTGGTTTTTACGAAGAGCGCAACGCCGGTAACGCCGTCAAGGCGCTCATGGACTCCCTCGCTCCCAAGGCCAAGGTCAAGCGCGCTGGCTCATGGAAGGAGATCGATTCTGCGGATCTCGTCCCTGGCGACATGATTTCGTTCAAGATCGGTGACATCGTTCCCGCCGACTGCCGTCTGACCGAGTCCATCAACGTGTCGATCGACCAGGCTGCGCTCACTGGCGAGTCATTGCCTCAGAGCAAGAAGGTTGGCGATCAGTGTTTCTCGTACGTTTCGAGTTTTGTTTTGTTTTCGATTTGATTGGACACTGACTATATGCGTGTAGTGGTTCGACTTGCAAGCAGGGAGAGGCTGAGGGTGTCGTCATCTCCACCGGCCCTAACACGTTCTTCGGTCGCGCCGCGTCGCTCGTCGGTCAGGACGACGACACCACCGGTCATTTGCAGAAGATTCTTGCGCAGATCGGCTCCTTCTGCCTGATCTCCATTGGTATCTTCGTCATCGCCGAGATCTTCTGCTTGTACGCCGGCTTCCGCTACAACTACCGTCGTGGCCTCAACGACATCCTGGTGCTCCTGATCGGCGGTATCCCCATCGCGATGCCCACTGTGTTGTCCGTCACCCTGGCTGTCGGCGCCCAGCAGCTCGCGAAGTACAAGGCTATTGTCACTCGTATCACTGCAATTGAGGAACTTGCCGCCGTCACCATCCTGTGCTCTGACAAGACTGGTACGCTCACGACGAACAAGCTCACCATCGACCGCGAGACTATCCGCACTTACGGCCCCTTCTCCGCTGAGGACGTCATTCTTCTCGCCGCGTACGCTTCGCGTACCGAGAACCAGGATGCTATCGACTCTTGCGTCGTCGGCGCTCTCACCGACACCACTCGCGCGCGCTCTGGTATCAAGCTGCTCGACTTCAAGCCCTTCAACCCTGTCGACAAGCGTACGGAGATCACGTACCGTGAGGAGTCGACTGGCCGCCTCAAGCGCGTCACCAAGGGTATGACCGGTATCATCATCGAGCTCTGCTCGCGTAACAAAACCGAGGAGCAGGAGAACAAGCTCGAGGCTGACGTCGAGGAGTTCGCCGCGCGTGGTCTGCGTGCGCTCGCTGTCGCTTACGAGGAGGTTGAGGGTGACGACTTCGAGGGTGAGGGTAACGGATTTGAGCTGATTGGTCTTCTCCCTATCTTCGACCCTCCTCGTACGGACACCAAGCAGACGATCGACGATGCCATGCTTCTCGGCGTCAAGGTCAAGATGGTCACCGGCGATCAGCTCGCCATCGCGAAGGAGACCGGTCGTCGTCTCGGTCTCGGTGACCACATGTACCCGGCTAAGGTGCTCAAGGACGGTCCCGAGGCCGGTGGCAAGCATGCGTCGCTTGACGCGATGATCCTCGACGCCGACGGTTTCGCTGGCGTCTTCCCCGAGCACAAGTACGAGATCGTCAAGCGTCTCCAAGGTCTTGGTCACTTGGTTGCCATGACTGGTGACGGTGCGAACGACGCCCCCGCCCTCTCCCGTGCTAACGTTGGTATCGCCGTCGAGGGCGCTACCGACGCTGCCCGTGGCGCTGCCGACATCGTCTTGACGGAGCCTGGTCTTTCCACCATCGTGCACGCCATCCGGGGATCGCGCGTCATCTTCCAGCGTATGCGCAACTACTCGATCTACGCCTGCGCCGTCACGATCCGTATCGTCGTCTGCTTCGCTATCCTGGCCTTCGCGTTCAAATTCGACTTCCCGCCGTTCATGGTCCTGATCATCGCCCTGCTCAACGACGGTACCATCATGACTCTGTCGGTCGACCGTGTTCTGCCCTCGAGCACACCTGACAGCTGGGACTTGGCCGAGATCTTCTCGTACGCCGTCGCTTACGGTATCTACCTCACTGCGTCCACGATCGCCCTCGTCGCTATTTGCATCAAGACAGAGTTCTTCTACAACAAATTCGGCGTCACGTTCGAGAATGGGCTCACGCAGGCGACGAACCACAACGACCGTGTCCTTCACTCGATTGTCTACCTCCAGGTCGCCATCATCTCGCAGGCCCTCATCTTCGTCACACGTTCGCACAGCTTCTTCTTCATGGAGAGGCCGTCTGTTGCACTGTTTGTGGCGTTCTGCATCGCGCAGCTCGTGTCGACGATCATCGCTGTGTACGCCGACTGGGGCTTCACTGACATCCACGGAATCTCCGGTGGTTGGGTCGGTATCGTTTGGGTTTGGGTACGTTTCTGATCATGTTAACATGGCCCTCACCATTCTCTAACCCATGCGTTTGCAGGACATCATCTGGTTCGTCCCTCTCGACTGGATCAAGTTCGCGATGAAGGCCACCATCATCAAGAAGCTTCGCAACCGCCACAACGCCGCAATGGCGGAGGCTTCCATCGCCCAGTCGTCCGGTGTCCCCATGACTCGCACCCAGTCTCGCGCGGCTTCCGTCCACGAGTCCCTCTACTCCAACCGTGTGTCGTTCATCCGCCGCGCCGCCCGCAAGGTCGGCTTCGGCACCAAGGTCTCGATGAAGCCGGAGGAGCTTCAACGCTTCAGCAGCATCCAGGCCCAGCGTGCGGGCGCGACCCTTGCGCGCAACCCCTCCCGCACCGCTGCATAGATGAGTACGTGGGCTGCCGACGTGTTGGTGGCTGGCCGTGGCTAAGGCTCAGGTGTCGTCCCTTCTATCCGTTGTAATTCGCGTATACCCCTGTATCACCGCCTCCCTCTCGACACCTGCGGTACTGGTCTGGCTGGTCGCTCGCGCGCCGGTGCGTCTCCGTGTACTCTTTTGTGTTTCTTACTTCGACGATTCATGTCTTACATGACCTTGATTCTATTCATGTTGTACACGCTCCACGACGTGCGGTTTTAGTCCGTAGTTCGCATCACACGACCGTATGTTATATACATAGCAAAAGTAATATCATGCATAGATTCCCGGGACTTCTTGTGGTGCGATTGTGTGCGATGGGGGGATAATGCGACTAGATGTCAGGTGCGCAATGACTCGGCGTCGTCGTTGAGCTGCGTCGGTCGTACTCCAGCTGCGAAGGTATCGCAGTGCAGCGAGCAAAAATTGAACAAAATTGCTTGTATCACTGACATCTACAGGCCAAGGCAACGACAACGGAGTTGTTACCACACGATAGAATACTGCAATTGTAGACAGCGATACGGACGAGACATTTGCATCGACTGCGAAATTCGGCGACCCAAGCAGCAGGCGACACATCTCGTCAATCGAATATTCTCGGTAGATCAAGTGTATCGACCTCCAGTTCGACTGGTGCGCTTCTGCGAATAGGGACCGTGAAACGGAGAGGCCGCTTTCCCGGACGCCCCAGCAAGCATGTCAAGCCCTCCTTGAGAACAAACTTCTCCTCGCCAGGTCGTATATCGGGCGTCCGCACACCGAAGCAGTTCTCGAGCGATCTCAGCTTCATCCCTGGCATTGAAAGCCACGGCGTGATTAGATCGGGCATCGACCATAGCTCGTATTTGAAGGGCGAGTTCGTTGCCTTTCCGGTCTTGGTGTGCACGAAGTCGAGACAGAATTCGTGCTGGTGGGCAACGCCGGGCCACAACCGGATCGAGTAGGCGCAGTCTGGGATGGGTCGAACGAAGACATTTGGCTCGCCGGGCCGAGGTTTGCGCTAGCTCATGGGATGCGTCAGTTGATGTCACGGGCAACGTTCACCAGTCAAGCTTCAAGACGTACCCCGGTCGCTAGAGATGACGGTTTATTAAGGAACTCCGCGCTGCCTGCATTAACCAGTGCAGTAGCTTCTTCGATAGAAGGCCAGGGTTGCCCGGGGTAGGTGGTAGCATTGGCTCGAATCGAATTATCCAACCAAGCGTATGCTTGCTCGTTCGACAGAGGGCCTTTATAGTTGCCTTCTGCTAATACAAAGAGGTCGTAGTCGTGCCTTGGCGTGATCCCAGGATATAGCTTCCCGACCATCTCAACAAGGCACTCGCGCAAGGTTTCCTCCTTCCCGGCCGACGCTACACCGGCAGAAGGCAGAGCCAGCGATGGTGCTGGTGCAATCTCCACGAGACGATCTGCTCCGTGATCTGCAGTACGAGAGGCTCGGATGTAAGTGTTACTGTCACGGTCGTTCGCATCCTTCAGTGATGTATACGGCTGGTAGCGCTGTGATGTCTGCACGTAGTGAGTTGGGCATCCGAACCTTCGCCATGGAGTGGGAGACATACTCTGGACGCCACGCGTCTGGATGCTGCCATCGCAAACAGTAGTACTGGTTGTGAAACAGTCGAAATTCTCAGACAGCTTCCGACGAGCCTGCGGATGGTGGTGAGCTGAACGGGAGGCGGCGGCGTTTGACCGACATCAACACGGAATGTGTCACATGTCTCAGCTTAACCGGCCCTCCCTGCTTCGCGTCCAAGTCTGGGCCGCCTGGACGGATCCTACTTATATATTTACAGCCCATATGGTGGTTTTGAGTCCACAGCCTGTTGACGAGTGGCTGAAAGGCTATCTGAGTTCACGTCGTGCTCGGCATAAGTAGTCGAGTACTTACTAGAACTTTGTCGCAACTCGCACAACGTGAGCAAGTGGGCTGGAAAGATGTCTAGTTGGCGTTGAGTTTCGTCACGACATCACCATTGGTACCATAGCCTCGTAAACTTCGTTGGCCAAGGGTTAGTATGTGCAACACTGTGTCGTCGAGCCTGCTCCGTAAGAATTCAATAAGCCAATTGCACTGGTCGTGTACACTCGGTGCGTTCAAAAATTAGCTGACTTTCCGCCCATTCCCGGCTTCTTCTCCGGTCTCGAGATACTCGCCTCGTTCCCTTTCGCACGTACTTGCATCGCCTACAGATGGTCGGTACAGCCCGCCACGCTGAGGTAAAGTGGATCACCGTCGGCTACAGTTCGCCCTCTCTGACACTTTCTTCCACACTCCAGACATCTGCAGGTTCATGATGCAATCTGAAAACACGTCAACAACGGTGCATTCGACAGGTCTGTACTTACTGAGAATCGTCAATATCATGGCAATTGTGTTCGCTCCCCCGGGGACGAATGCAATCCTGCCGCCAACGGGTCCGCTGAGACGTCATCGTAGATAGTTTCTTCCACATCATCCAGCGCATAGCGCTCCTCCGAGTCGGACAGGATATCATCCAGGGGAGCACCCAAATTTCCAGTGATGCGGTTATGCGCAGCAAATGCAACAGACGACATTCGCAAATCTCCAGCTGAGCTGTCGATTTGGCCGTTCGTTCCGGCGCTGAGGTAGACGCTATGTAGGTTGAGGAGGAAGCGAGACACCAGGATCGACGACAATCTGATGACCCCGCATTTGTCAGGCATGCCATCGTCCATATGGAGTGAGAGCTACGTACACTTGCGGAAAGTTAGCTACTCCACCGGAAACGACCTACGAATGCCCTGAGTCAGTGCCATTGAAGCAGAAAATATGAGTACGGCATGAGTTCTAGATATGAGCATCTGCGGAAATTAGCAAATTGTTAAGTTCGTGGAGCACATATTGGTAAGTACCGTTGCATCTAAAATCAGTAGCACACTGAGAGTCTGCTTATGAGTACGCGGGTACTTGGACACCATGCAGGTCGGATATGGCTCACATGAAGTAGATCGTTCCTACGTCTCTAAGTGAGTCACAAGTATCAATCAATGACGTGGCATTGCCTACCATCTCGTTGTATCGATGACACGTAGGACGGTCTACGCTCTTGTGCCCACGCCCTCAGGCTGTCTTTTGCCTGTCTTCGTATAGCAGCGCAAGAACGTTTCACCTCGATGGTCTTCACGCAAGTGAGCAGAAGGACGATTGCGTCTCCGAGAATGTCGAAACCAGTAGCGAAGGAGGTGACTATGTACAGTGACATCAATTCGGGCGCTCGTGGATAACTGATAGAGTTTGAGTGCCTTACTCCTGGGACACACATCGAATCAGTTGACAAGCTAAGATCGACTGCAGGACATACGTAGTTACTGTGTCCTCGGACATGTGTATGAAAACTACGCAGCCGAATAGAGGGGGAGGGGCCACGGCGGGATTCACCCTGGTATACCAGAACTGTAGCGCCAGCGTATATGAGTGATTATAGTAGGACGGCAATGCAACATCGACGCGTACCATATTCATGCCAAATGGTACCAATCCTATGAACAACAAGCCAGCCAATATCCTACAGTCCTTGCGCCAAACCGCGTACATGCGCAACGAAGTGAAGACTACCTGAGAAATCAGTATTCATTGAATCACGAACAGAGCATTGGACACCTGTTATGACCAGACGTATCAACGTGAATAATGCCTGACTAGTGTGAATCACCCCTGAGCAGCTAGGCAAGATGCCTCAGCATCACAACATGAGTACTGTGGCAAAAGGGATTGTCACATCTATCACAACGCTGTCAGCGAATTGAAACAAGTGGCTCGTAGAGGGCCTACAACTTTGTGATTGGTAGCTGGGTTATTCACCAACGGGAGCGTCGCAATCATCGCGAGGATTTGGTATACGAGACACAAGTACCGGTTCAAGAGGAAAAGTACTGTGGCTCCTGAGAACCGACAACGCCAAATAAGCCGGACTTCGCGTGAGAATGTGAGAACGTAATCGTAGAAAAGGACTGCTGTGTCACCGTAAAGCTTCAGCTGGTGCTTATCGTCATTGAAGCTGATAGTACTCACTGGTGGCGGCAATGATACAGTAATCAGCAAAAACCCTTCCGGATATGAATTTTCGATCAACCGCGTCACTTCAGACACCCACATTTCCTGATACAAGGCTGTGGTCGAGTTGCGCGACATGGTACAATGCCGGAACCTGATGTTACTTCGAGTGGATGGATGTGGTGCAGGGAACGTCTGGATCCGAAGGTAAGTGCTTTAACTTCGCCTTGTTGCGGCGACGTATCTTATACCTCAGATAACCTGTCACTGTAATGCATGCTATGACCCCGACGACATCGCATGATGACCGAATCAGGTTCTTTAGGCCAAGTTGAGCTGCCAACGGAACTGTCGAAAGGCATAGACCTTCTCGGCCGCACGGACGCGGTGCGCGCATGTTCCCGCCCTGTCAAGTGTAGCTAGCTCAGCACAGTAAACGAGCATAGCATTACAAACATACAGTTACGCGCTTGATACGTTCATTCATGATGCCGGCCAACTGCTTCGTCGCCATCCCATGGGAAGCACATGTAACCGGTTAGTATTCGAAGCTGAACCCGGGTCAATAGTCAGGAGAAGGGACGGCATTCCCATCGCAGAGTCTGACGATGGAGGCGGCTTGTTGGCCACCAAGGGAACTAAACCCCCTCCTTGCAGTCGACCAGACTCACCGCGAACTTAGCTCCTGGTTGTATGATGGCGCATGATACGTAGTCGTGGGCACATTGAACTGAGCTGAAAAGACCCGTCAGCGTATCCAAATCACGTCTATCTGAAAGGGGAGACATGCGTACCCATGATGTATCTCCTCGGGACCATCACATCACGACATTGTCAACGAGTGCCGACTGTGACTGATAGGTTCTCACTAAGCGTCCATTGGTGCTTGCCAGCCACGGAACAGTACCCCGCTGGAGCTCAGAGGACCAACGCAAGCTTGTTTCCCTGATACCTCCATTAGCCATGCCGGGACTTCGTCAGAATGATGGTTTCATGAGTTGATGCTGCGATCGTGATAGAGATGGGCTGTGCTTTCGATAGGTTATTCACATACTTGTTGAACAGTCGCAGACTTTTCTGCGACGCTGAAATCAGAAATGGTCGTGATCGCCTGAGGGCGAACATATCCCTGCCAGGAGCGGAGTTCTTTATACATACGCACCTCTCCCGCAGTCCCGCAAGTCCCGAAGCAGACAGCACCTCCGGACCAGATGTTTGAACAGAGAGCTTCTCAGGGGTACAACAAACATCTGCGAATCAATAAGTAACCTGGGCTCACTTTCGGTGCACTGTTGAGACGCTGGAACCCAACAGAGGTCAACGCGGACGATAGCATACGAAGAAACGTGATGTACTTCACCAGCGCCAACTACACTGCCCTCCTCATTGCCAGCAGTTTCTTCTCCATCCTCGATATCCTCGCCTCGTTCCCCTTCACGCGCGCGTCCATCTCCTGCTCGACGCCCCGCACGCCCTGCATCGCCGCATGGAGCTTCTCCCTCGCCTGGCGCATCTCTCCCTCGGGCACCGTCCCCGTCCCCGTCCCCGAGCCGAGCGTGCGCCGAACGCGGTCGACGTGCGTCTGGAGGTCAGCCACCTTCGCTGCGAGGTCGTCCGCGGGATCCGGCCTGACCGAAACTGCGCGAGGCGGTCAGGTCGGTGCGCCGGGTGGGTGCATAGGAAGGGTGGCGCTCACCGCGGTCTTTTGTCGTTGGCGCGGTCCATGGCGGTTCGACCAGGTCGAGCACGAGGAAGCGCAGGTGTTTCGGACGTGGCGCTTGGTCTGTATCTGGGTCATCGCGGCGCGGGTGACTGTATGCGGGGGCCTTCCCCTTATCCTTCGCTCCCCAATCCCTAGCGCGAGCGCTTTGCGACATCGTCAGAGGGCGGCTCGCTAGGCAGTTAGGGAGGAAGGACTAGGGAACCTAGTATGCGGTCAATTCCCAGAAATCGGTGAATTTATAGGTATAGGTGTCGTGGTCTGGCTGTAGACGGTGGTATGGAAAAAAAGGATACGGACTGGTGGATCGTATGGAGAAAGCGACGATCGAGCCGCTGGTAGGGTCAAGCAGACATCAACAATCCGCATTCAGGCGCAGGTGGAGATCGGGGTGCTGATGATAATTACGTGTGCGTCGCGCTCGAACGGAGAGTAACCCCGATACCTTGGTGGGTCCTGCGCGAGGCGTTTCGACTACGCAGTGTCGTTACGAAACAGGACCTTCTCACTCGGATCCGAGACCTACGAACGCCAATGGGTGGTCAGCAAACGATGACGCGACGGCAATGAAGACTAGTAAGATGCTCTATTATGTATCCTCCAGCAAAGCAGCGAAATCGTGGCTTACCATGATGCAAACGTCACATAATCATGTCAGTCAGTTCAAGTTCATTCGGGGTGCTTCAACAACTCATCCGGGAGACATCAGCTTGCATACTGACATAGAGTTTGATACGTCTCTCCTGGTGTCCTTCGCAAGGAGTTTCGAGTCTCATTCGTGGTCCGGTAAGCGCGCCGATGCGGCTCATGACTCGCTTGCGAACGCACAATTCTGTGCGGGCCTCTGTGTAACGGCTATGGACAGAGCGAGAGCGTTTCTGCATCGCACAAACACAGCGTGGTACGCGGAAAGAGAGGTTGTAGAAGTCTAGGAGTCTCGTAACACGACCATGCACGTGTCGTAGAAGATGTCAAGATGAGCCTCAGCCTGGGCGGACCAGGACGGTGGCTACCAGAAGAGGAAGCGTGAGGAGGTGTGACGTAAGCGGAAGACATGGTGTGTGCGGGTGAAGAGTTCCGCCGCATCCGCCACATGGATGAGACTTGAGGATGTCGTCCCGACTCTCTCGGACTCGCTCGCTGAACTGTACAGGTTCGAGGCCACCGCCCTGGGAGCCTATCTCTTACATCTATGTCTCTCGTGGAACGCCGGACTCGGAAGGATAGCCTGTTGCCTGTTTTCTATCCGGAGCACGCCAGACTTGCCTCAAAGTAGACCCTCAGTGCTGTGATTTTTCTTTGCTGAGTAACGACGGCCCTACGTTGCTGACTTATCCAGAACCTTCGGCTCTATTGGAGCATCGATTCTGCCAATCGACCTACATGAGTAACCAAGCGGCACTCTTGCTTCCCGGCTCCGGCTCATCCAACATATCCTTGGCTCAACAAATCTGCAACGCTCCCTATAAAAGCTGGGCTATCCAGGCGATGTCTTCCCCACACATCCCATCCTCCTTCTCGCCATGGCCCACAACAACAACTACATAAACGCCCCTGCGCCCAACGTCCCCTACTTTGCTCCCGCCCAGTATCCTCCGGCGGGCACTGCGCTCGACCCGCAGCCCGATGGCAAGCCCATCCCGGCGCTCTTCAAGCCTCTCAAGATCCGCGGCGTTGAGTTCCAGAACCGCATCTTCCTCTCCCCGCTCTGCCAGTACTCGTCAGAGAACGGCAAGGTGACGCCATGGCAGTTCGCCCACCGTGAGTGTCCCTTATCGCGCACCGTAGGCCCAGAAGCGCCGTCCTGACCACTCCCCTTCCCTTCCCAGTCGGCGGCATCTTCACACGCGGGCCCGGCCTCACCATCGTCGAGGCGACCGCGGTCGTGCCCGAGGGCCGCATCACGCCCCAGGACGCGGGCATCTGGACCGACGAGCAGGCGGAGGCCTGGCGGGAGGTCGTCCAGTTCGCGCACGCGCAGAACCAGAAGATCGGCATCCAGCTCGCGCACGCGGGCCGCAAGGCGTCCACCGTCGCGCCCTGGATCCACAGCGGCCTCTCCGCGCCCGTCAGCGACGGCGGCTGGCCGGACGACGTCTGGGGCCCGTCCGCGATCCCGTTCAGCGACCAGTTCCCGGAGCCGAAGGAGCTCACGCGCGCGGGCATCAAGCGCGTCGTGGACGCGTTTGTGGAGGCGGCGAAGAGGAGCTTGAGGGCGGGCTTCGACGTGATCGAGATCCACTCGGCGCACGGGTACCTGCTCAGTGAGTTCCTGGCCCCGGTCGCGAACCACCGCACAGACGAGTACGGAGGGAGCTTTGAGAACCGCATCCGGCTGCTCCTGGAGATCGTCGACGCCGTCCGCGCGGTGATCCCGCCAACGACGCCTCTCTTCGTTCGGTACGTCTCCCCGCTTCGTCCTGGATTTGATCCGTCACTCACATGCATCACAGCGTCTCCGCCACCGACTGGCTCGACGACTCGCACCCGAACGAGCGCTGGAGCCACGAAGACACCGTCCGGCTCGCGGGGATCCTCCCCGCGCACGGCGTCGACCTGCTCGATGTCTCCTCCGGGGGCATCCACCCCGCGCAGAAGTTCCAGCTCGCGCCGGAGCTGCAGCACAAGCTCCTGCAGGTGCCGTTCTCCGCGGCGGTGAAGAAGGCGCACGGGGACAGGCTCCTCGTCGGCGCGGTGGGCACGATCAACACGGGCGCGCTCGCGCAGGGCGTGCTCGATGAGGGCGCGGCGGACGTCATCTTCGTCGGGCGCCAGTTCCAGAAGAACCCCGGCACGGTGTGGGCGTTCGCGGACGACCTCGGCGTGACGGTCACGCAGTCGCACCAGATCGAGTGGGGTTTCGCGGGCAGGGGAGGCGTCGCGAGGCAGGCGAAGAGTGAGTGAGCGAGGGGCGTGTTAGTGGTTTGGGATTAGACTGAGACTTTGCAGGTCATTTGTAGCCGTATGTAGATCTCCTCGTAATGGCAAGTTTTACTTGTTTCCTGTAAGCCAGGATGGAGGCATTCCAGTCTTGAGCGTGAGGTCTCGGGTATGTCACGTACGATGCGTATCCCTTCTGTTGGGAGGAACTGTTCACTGTTAGTTCGATGATCGAATGTTCACAGGAGCTGCAATCATGCAGCGATGGGCGGTGCCGCCGGTGAGCAACCTCCGAGTTCGCGCAGAAGTCCCGCAGATGAATTCGTGGTCTCATCGGTCGAGAAACTCGTAAGAAGTTAGCTCCCTCAACTCATCCCCACGCGCGAGTACGCGAAATTTGCGACCATGGCTGCGCCTCCCAAGGAGGCCGCTCCGGCGCTGTCGATGTGCGTCCATCGTGAAGCCAACGAACTCGCCTATGTGACGCTGTTCTGCACGCGTGGGTACGACGGCCCATTCACCATTCTTTCCCTCCTCCAACTCCGCATAATATGCATCCTCCTCCGCATATGCATTTGTCCAGAAAGGGACATCGCA